AAGCACAAACATCCTGATTCTTATGCACAGTGGTGGAGGCTGATGATTTGGACTCCTTTGCATCACACTGCTGATTTTTAAAAAAATACAAATGGACAAAGTAATGGTATAATTCCTTAAATAAACTACATACTTCCTGTTCTGTCTGCCACTTAGAAATACACAGATAGATTAGCATAGGGCGGTTAAAAAAAAGTATTACATTACGTTATGTTACCCTAAGTGGATTACCTTCTTCCGCTGCTCTTTGTGACTTTGCAGCCTGATTAATTAGCAGCAGGGTAAGATATTTTGAAGCTGTGCTCTAACTCTGACTATAAGTGGCTTAAACCTTTGGAAGAGGCCTCCGTTTTACTCCATTATATGTTGCCATGCTTTACATTATCTGCTGCTTTATAAGCAGGGACATATGAGATGCCTAAATTGGAGTAAAAGCAGAAATGCTGGGGAGTTCAATTAATAATTAATTGACCTTTATCAATCTCACGTTGAAGGATTTTAACCCATCCCCTTTGCGGAGCAGTGGGCTGCCATCGTGGGGCGCCAGAGGAGCAGTATGGGGTTAAGGGTCTTGCTCAGATCCAGAGTGGCAGTCTGTGGGAGTGGGTTTTTGACCCACAACCTCAGAATTCAAAGCTGTATCATGCAAATAAAAGGTGAGGCTATGTTAGAATGCATATAATGCAGTGAAGGAACGCGAGCCAGCTGTACATGCAGAAGTATTCACACCTTTTGAGTGTTTTTTATGACGTATTTTGTTTGTTTTCCATCCACCACCAGGTGGCGCCTGGTTCTCTTTGGCCTCCACACACACCTGCGGGTGGTTGCCTCATTACCGGAGGACTCTTAAGCTGCTGACTGCCACTACCTCAACGCCAGAGTGTTTGCCGCTTTAGCGTACTCTAGCCAAGCTGAGTTTTGTTGAGTTTTAGTCACATGAGTCTTAATCTTGTTGTTTTTTTGTCTTTGCCTCTCGGCAGGAATTTATCCTGCAAAATGGATGTTTTGGACCTTCTCCCCCCTGGAAGGATTCTCTGAGCATCAAGCTGAGCTGAGGATTCAAAGTGGAGGTTTGGATCTACTTTTCCCCAAAGGATTGTTTGGGCTTCTCTCTGAGCAGGGGATTCATCTCCACAAGAAACCGTTCAAGTACCGCAGGAAATCTAAGTGGCAGTCAGCTCCTCCGTTCCTCAAGGAAACTCCTCAACCTGGTTAAACTCTGTCCGCCCTTCAACGAACAAATCTATTACTGGAAAAACCCACACCGACTGGATTCAACAAGACTCCTTTTTCTGGAAACGTGATTTCTGTTGCCTTTATTCCCTTCTTCAAATCAAAGACACAAATTTCCCACTGAGCCTGAACTAACCGCAGAATCTTCCCCTTCACTTTTCAGTCCCGGTTCGACAGTGTTCAGAGCAGTACTGGACTCCTCTCTACCTACTCACAATAAAACCTGTTAAACTTTTCCCTGGTCTCTCTGTTTGGTTTACTGCCTGTGGGTCTGATCTTTAGATAAAATCATTACAGTATCAGTCACAAAATTTAATTTTTCCAGCAACAGAAAAACAAGAAATTCTGTATTATTGTCTAGAGCATCATCTACAAGACGGTTATACAGGATGATACTACTAGGAATAAACAAAGAGCAATTTAGAGGATTTATTTAGGGGAATCAGAGTGAACAGGGTTAAATAATGTAGCCTCCTGTGTTTCTCTGATTCATTTCTACATGCGTAACCGATCATTCTCTCCAAGAAACAACACATTCAGCCATGATTCATGGCAACAGACTGGCTGCTGATTGAACAGGCTCTTTGATTATATCTTAGTCATCAAAGGAAGCTCATTATACAAGACAGTCACACAGCGATCTGTTTACTGCAGCCAGCCGCCTGTAGAAGCCCATTGAGTCTGCTGTGACAGACCTCGCCATGAGATTACAAGATTACAAAAGGTGTGGGCATGTGTTCCCCGTGCTTGATTTGATTAAAACTTCTACTCGGATACTCGTGTGTTTTCAGATGAAGAAAGATCTGTGCTTTCTTTAAAGCACAGATCTTTCTCTTTTTCCGCTCTATCTGAATTATCAATATTAGTTCATCACTATCACCCTGCAGCTTCCCCTTTCTGCACTTTCACAGCATGGTGATGCTATGAAAAATCATGCTTAAATTTACACTTTTAGAATAATTATGCAACTTTAGGTTGTAGGATTGCATTTGTTCCTTAAGTACAGTTATAGATAGGTAATCTGCACAAATTCACACTGATCCTACAGAGAGAATCAGCTCCTTTATATGAATGAGAGGCCTGTAGGATTCCACTGTTGGATTTGAAGAGTGCTCCCAAGATGAGGATTGGTCCACTGGGTCACCAGGTGCAGATGCCCCTCAGTATCCACTAAGCAGCCATGCAGCAAACACACACACCCACTCATGCAAAGCGTCGTCATGTGATTGGGCAGGGCGTTCTAGGTGTGGCAGCCCTGACTGCTCAGCAGGGATTAGAAGGGAACAGAAATTTCTGTCATCTCTCTGGATCATCTGTGTTTACAACTTTACAGAGCAGAGCAGAAAGGCTGGAGGAGAATGAGACCAGTCAGTGGATACAGGTCGGTGTAGCAGCTTCTAGGTTGGTTTATTAGAAGAGTTTCTAAATGTCACAGCATAGAAAGAGACGCAGATTCCTTCAGGCACTAATCCTACTGCTTTAAGGAACAGTGTAAGCTTATTTAGGAGCTAGCTTTACAGCCTGACCAATATGGCTGAATACAGGGAAGGTAGCTGTGTCTTCTACAAATTAAGGGTTTTAGGTTAAAAAAATAACTTCTTATATTGATTAATTGATTAAAAGCTGCACTTTTATGTTTATATCTATTTAAGGTCAGATGTTAATTGTTAATCTTCTATGCACATTTGTACAGGAGCTTCCAGAACTAGCTTTATCCCCAGTCATTTTTAGTATTTAGATGATTTATACTTCAATGGAGTTTCTTGAGGTGCTTCCACCGTTAAAACCTTTGGTTTTTATGCAGAATTAGCAGTATGCCTCCCTCTGATCACATCATCACAAAGGTGAAACATGGTGTTGGTAGTATCATGCTGTGGGAAAATGTTTCTTCACTAGGCAGACGTGCTTTTGAAGGTTTTGCTACTTTTTAATGTCGGTCTATCAACA